GCGCTTCTACGCCAAGCCCCACCAGTGCGTGGCCATCCCCGCCGACCTGCGGCTCTGCCACAGCGTGGGCTACGACAAGATGGTGCTGCCCAACCTGCTGGACCACGAGACCATGGCCGAGGTGAAGCACCAGGCGAGCAGCTGGGTGCCGCTCCTCAACAAGAACTGCCACATGGGCACCCAGGTCTTCCTCTGCTCCCTCTTCGCCCCCGTCTGCCTGGACCGGCCGGTCTACCCGTGCCGCTGGCTCTGCGAGGCTGTGCGCGACTCCTGCGAGCCTGTCATGCAGTTCTTTGGCTTCTTCTGGCCCGAGATGCTCAAGTGTGACCAGTTTCCCCAGGATGACGTCTGCATTGCCATGACGGCTCCCAATGCCACTGAGGTCTCCAGGCCCAAAGGTAAGGTGTGACCAGCGCCGCGGCCCTGCTCCTGGTGCTTTTCTCTGGGCTGATGGGGCAGGAGTGGGGCTGTGTGGGACCGAAGGGGGCCTTGCGGCAGGAGGAGGCTCACCTGGACTCTGCTGCTTGGCAGCAGTCCTCCTCCAGCCTCTGCGCACTCTGCGAGCGCTCCTGTCCCGAGGAAGGCAGGACATCCTGCCAGTTCCTCGCCTCTGTCCCGGAGCTGAGCCCGGGAGTAGATGGTGTCGGGGCACGGCGGGTGCGTGGCTGCTTTGATCCCCACGCAGGCACTGGGGCTCCAACCCTCCGTCCTCCAGGTGCTGTGCCGCCCTGGCAGCACTTTCTCTCCCAAGCCCAGCTCCTGTGGGGCTGTTCTTGGCAGCAGCAGGGCAGGTCTCAGGTGGGGCTGTGTGCGGGCGAGGGGGCACGAGATTTATCAAGAATGCCTGGGAAAAGCAGATGTGGTTCTCATTTGTTTCCATCACGGGCGGCAGGTCTGTTTGGTGCCAGGCTGGCTGGTTTGTCCAAGTTGCAATGAGTCTGGCTTGTTGCTGAAAACTTTTAAAATAAGTAAATACCCTGGTGTCGCTTCAGCATTCTGCATCGGAACGCTTTGAAAGGCTGGCAGGAGGGATATTTGTAGAGGGAGGAGGCAGAGGGCTTTAAAAAAGTGCAATGCTTTCCTGTGTCCAGAGCTTCACTGAAAGGGATGGGCACTCCGGATTTCACGAGGGGATAGCGCAGGCACTCGTGAGGAGCTCGGGGACAGGGGAGCCGCGCGTGGGGCTCAGCGATTCCTGAGGCTTCCGCACCGTGTCTGGAGCTCGTCGCCCTTTGCAGTGGCCGCTCACGTGCCGTTACCTTTACAGACAAAGGCTTTACGTCGTGCTCTGCGGGGAGCCCTTGCCCGGCCTGCCGGGGACTGTGCAGTGTTATCCCACTCATCCCAGTGGGATTCGTATTTCCAGGAGCCTTTGGTTACGGGGCAGGAAGCCAGTGTGGGGGCACATGGAAGGGAGCAGAGAGCGACGGCTTGAGCGGGATGGGGCAGTGCCTGGGGACAGGCAGGGACAGACACCTGAGCTCGACTCCCGCCAGAGCTGTGCAGGGAACCCGTCGTGTCTCGGTGTGAAGTGTGTACCCACGGGGGGTGAGGTTTGGCTGCTCTCGCTCCCGGGCACGCAGCCTCTAAAAAAAGGTGGGGTTTGGCTGCTCTCCCCCCCGGGCACGCAGCCTCTCCCCGTGCGGCGCTGACGGCAGCACAGCCGCGCTGGCTTCCTCGCCGTGGCTTATGCTTACTGATGGCATTGCTGGAGGAAGCTCTTTGTTTTCCAGGAAGGCTCTAAAATCACGTCCTGTGTGAACCTAGACCCTTGGTCAAGACCACAGTCTTGTCCTGGGTACGAAGGTTGCTTTTATTGCTGGGGACTTGCAGCCAAGCGTGCTCCTGGGGCAGCTGGGTCTGAGCTGCTGGCTCTACAGTTGCCGCTTCCCAGGGCTGAAATGGAGTTTGAGCTTGTTTGCAGGTCATTCATTTTAATGAACGACCCAAGACCTGGGAAGTCTTCTAGGTGAGCAGCTGAGTTTTCCCTTGTGCAGTTTAGTAACTTTGTGATCCCCTTTCAGTCCTGTCTTGACAGCAGTATTGGGGTGGGACATCACTGCTTGCTTTTGGTGCCCATCAGCACGGTATTTGGGCACCACGCTGTCCTTCACAGGCATCGCTAAAGGGACTCGCAATGACATCAGCTCAGGTCTGAGTCGGGTGTGCACCTATTGCTGGTCCTGCCTGGCGTGCAGGGAGGCCTCATTCTGCACGAGCCTTAGGGTGTATTAACTTGTTCTTCGAGTGAGCTGTAAATCGGAGCTGGGTGAGTATTGCGAGGAAGCATTGCAGCTGCTCAGATAAACCGCTGTCTCTTAACTCGTTTGCAAAACTTATGTCCCAAGCACTTTTAAATGAGCAATTTGTTCACAAGGTTATTTACAGAAAGTAAGTCTTTAAACCTGTTGTGCAGATGTGAAGTCTCTTCAAGCATTCAGTGGAAAAGCGTAAGCAGCCATCTTCACATCGCCTGGCTGCTTGAAAGGCTTTCAAGAGAAACCCTTGCACGTGCTGTAGCCGAGCCCCCGCAGCCCCGGAGGTGTCAGGCCGAGCTCCCTGTGCCCATCGCACCGGCTGGGGCACTTCGCGCTGTGGGGACGAGCAGTCTTGCTAGAAAACGCCTCCTCAAGGCGAGGAGGCCAGCCCTGGTGACCTGCTGGGACAGACCTGCTGCCCATAGCTGTGTCGGCTCTCGTGGCATTCGCGCTGGTCATGGGCAGGGGGATCTGGCGTGTGTTCTCCTGTGAGTAACCCTCGGCTGGTGAAGGTCCGTGTGCCGCGGGCGCCTGTGCTGGGATGCTCTTGCCCCTGACAGCTTGGAGTGGACAGAGCAAACTCAATTGCAGCTGCTGAATTGCAGCCGGGCGCTCCTGCTCCC